GAAGTGTGGCACCAGCAAGAGCACTAGAAAGAGCAGGAAGTTGGGGCAAAGGTCCCTAACACATCGTGGTGGCCGGTGGTGGGAGAGTGAAATGCATCGCAGCGGCCTGTGTCTGATGATGTTGGTAGATGAAAGCGGCAACAGGTTGTGTCGTGAGGTGGAGCTGGCGGATGTGATCATGGGCTAGGGTGAGTTGGCATTGGAGCTCGGCATTCTGTGTCCTGGGTGTAGGAGGGGGGGGGGGGGAGGCAAAGGAGCGAGGGGTGATGAGGGAGGTGCCATGGAAACTAACGCCGAGGAGGTGGCGGGACAAGATGCCATGGGTCCTGAGGAGGGAGGTGCGGGGGTGAAAACCTGGGAGGAAGAGATGGTTACAGAGGAAGGGTGGGACTGGGGTGAGGACACGACCCCGTGGAAGAGACAAGCGTGTAGATGATGCCAGCCGAAGAACAAGAGGAAGCTGGCATAGATGTTGATGAGGGGGGTGGGATGGTAGAATGTGGGATGCCGAACTAAGGGGGTGATAGATGTGATCCACTAGGGGCATGTGTGTGGGAAGGGGAGAGACGGGAGGGAGAGGAGGGAAGTGCACTGGTACGGGGCTCCAGCTGTGACACACGGGCCGACAAGGATGGCATGGAGGGCCGTGAATTTGGCCTCGAATGTCGCCTGCATGTTCTCGAGGAGAGCCAGTAGGCGATCCGATTGGGCGGCTGGACCCGAACTGGCGGCCATAGGGGGTGGAAATCTGAGCCAAACCGCCCATGGCATCGCGAGCTAGGAGCGCAAGCCCTTCACTGGTGGAGCGGAAGGGGCTCACTGACTCTGCACTCTGCATGGAGTCAACAAATGAAGAAGATGAAGATGATGTAGAGGGAGCACCGTGACGAGAGGGGCGATCTGTAGCCGTGGTCGGTGCATCAAAGTGAGCGAGTCGATTGGCGGCACGAGCGTCTCGAGCTCGATTTTGGAGTGCACGTTGTTGGATGTCACGGGGAGCCAGGGTGGCACACAGAAGAGGGGTAAGGGACTGCGAGAGGAAGGCGAGTAGAAATGAAGTCTAACGAACTTCCGAAAGAGTGAAATTTCCAATTCGGGCAAGGAAATGAAAGAAGATTTTCGAAGGATGGCGTGGGGTACAGAGAAAAGCATGCACAAGACAATTACGAGATCAAAATAAAATTCCGAATTTATTTGGGTGTAAATTCAGAATTTGGAAGAAACTTAAGCAAAATTCACAAAATTTCAAAATTACTCATAAAAAGTTTTGGAAATTCAGGGAGAGGATATAGAAGAGGTAAGTTCAGAACACCATTTTGAGATAAAATGAATTTTTTTTTGACGTATTTCCAGAATTAGAAGAATTTCGAAGGCAATTTGAAATAAAATAGAAAAATAATTCCTAAATTAAGAATTGACAGCAAAATGGCATGGGAAACTAATGACAGCCAAATAAGGTAAGTGGAGAGAAATTTCGAAATTATTTAGACGAAATTAAGAAAAATTATCAACATGTTGTAGAGTTGACAGAAATTTCAAAGAAATTTCAAAAGAATTTCAAAGAAATTTCAAAAGAATTGCAAAATTTCGGAATTTTATGGGGAACAGAAAATAGAAATTGATTCGACTTCAGAAGAATTAAATATGGTCAATTCCAAAAATTATGTGACGAATTCTGAAAACGAATTGAATTTTGAAAATAAATAACAAAAAAAAATTAATATGATAAAGAAATTCCTGTAACTTTTAAACAAAAACAACGGAATTCATTCCGTTCACAGTGTTGGGAGAAAAGTGGATGAAAATTAATCCTATCGAATAAGGTATGAATTCCGGATGATAGGATAGACAGCATTGTAATAGAAGCACGAGGAGAGAAGATACGTGTCACGTTAGAAATTTTAGATGATGTGACCTATTGGGTGGGATGGTAGAGGGGGGAAGAAGGAATGGTGAGGAGATAGAAGGAGAAAAAAAAAAAAAGATCTTTGAGACAGATCGGTGAGAGGAAGGGGGGGAATTAGTAAAAGGGAGATAGACTGACAATACCACCCTCCCTGTTGGCCGGAAGCAATCAAGGTCCCTCCTAGTCGAGGAAGGTCTTCAATCAACCCCTAGAGGGTCCTCTCTATCTTTCCCCCATGGAACGACGACGTCGCCGGATCAATTGCATGCGGTGATGATGATGTCCAATGGAGGTGGGGACGCTGCAATAGTGGAGATTGTCAATAATGACGATGCGTGCCAATGCTACCTGATGCAGCAGCCAAGACGTGATGGATCCTGCTTCACAATGATAGGAAGAGTGGGCGTCGAAGGATTAAAAAGCAACGTCGTTGTGAACGCTTAGCAGCCACAAGCCAGGTATCCCTGTGGTAACTTTTCTCACACCTCTAGCTTCAAGTCCAGAAACGCTAAAGGATCGATAGGCCAAGCTCGCATAGTTTGCATTCGTACTGGAAATCAAATCCAGACGAGATTTTGCCCTGTTGTTCCACACGAGATTACTGTGCTCGTTGGGCTCATCATAGGACACTTGCGTTATCTTCAAACCGATGTGCCGCGCCTGCCAGTAGTCTCGATGTGCAGGTGCTCTCGGGAGGAGGTAGATAGGGTGAAAATCGCGCGCACGTGCGCGCGGTGGAATTTGGGATCGGGTTTGGATCGGGATCGGGGCGGGGGAAAGATAGGATCGGGGGAAAAATCGGGGGAAGTTGGGATCGGGGGCAAATCGGGGGGAAGTCGCTGGAAGTCGGGGAAAATTCGGAGTTTCGGGGGGGAAATCCGGGGAAGAGCGTAGCGGGGTGCGCGATTGGGCAGGGGGGCCGGAAGTCGGGATCAGAATTGGGAAGGGGAGGGAGATCGGGGTCGGGGGATGGGAAGTTGGGCGGGCGGATCGGGAAGACAGCGGGGAGGGTAGGAACGCAGGCACGTGCGCGCTACGTGGGGGGGAAAAAAGGGGGCG